CCCGGGAATCGTTGAAAGCCGAAATGAGACTGCCGGAATCGGTTTAAAACGCTATTATTGGCGACCGAAACGCGTCCCGATGCCAAAATTTTCTGACCGAGCGCCGAAATCACTTTATCCGTTTATCGAGACGCGCCCGCCATCGGATATATTTTCCGCGGTCCAACGGTACTGCATATCGACCAATTTCATCGATATTTAACGACAAATTTAATAGTATACAGAGTGTTAATTAGGAATGTACACCGTGTGCCAGATAAACCGATGCATGATACGATCTGGAAACCCATAGGATATACAAAAAAAAGTTTCGTACAAAAGTTTCTTCGACTCTCCTGAAGATTTGAAATATTCTAATTTTGTTGATACAGGGTGCCCTCCCCCCTACATCAACTGCAATTTTAAATGGAGCACCCTATATACTTCGACATTTTTGGAATCCTTGGTTGAAATAAAGGTCATTTTCTTAAGAAGTTCCTATTCGAATTTTGCATAGTTTAGGCAGACTCTGAGGTTATGTGTTTTGTTTTTTCATATTTTGATTGCCCCATATAAAATTGTGTTACGACTCTACTGTTCCAGGTATTGAAATGAAAATTTAACCACAGACTAAGGAGATGATGCTCTACTCAATCAGCTTGATAGATGCGCCTCAGCTTATACATAGGTGGTGCTTTTTGGCGAATTCAATTAACAAAATCTGAAGATTTTCAAATGGAACACACTACACTACATTTTTATCAGATTTCAATTATAGGATAAAAAATAAGGTAACTTTACTTACTTTTTGAGATATTAGAGGCTTAAGATAACACTCGCATAAACTCTTGTTGAATTTGTTGACTTGTTGGCAATATCAGGTATTTTTTAAATAGCACATACATGATATTACTTCTTTTAAAGGTATATCAATAAAACCTATTTTTAACAATACCATTAATACGTGGAAATTTTGAAAAAAATCGATTGTATACTACACACTTTAACCGATTTAATATAACTTTAGAATTCACATTGAAAGAAACATTTAACAGTTAATTAATTGAAAATATCTAATAATAAAAATAAATAAAGTTTATAGGCTAACTAAACAAGGTAACAAATTTGAATAAATTAATCTACAAAAAAAAAAACAGAAACAAATAACTAAAAAAAAAGCTTGGTGATAGTGATACTGTAATATATTTTCATTATATTGTCCATCCTGCTGGAGACCGCATTTCTAATCGCATCCTATTATTTAAAGCAAGAATCTCTTGTCTAATTTTTTCCTTTAGGTCATCAACTGTATAGTTATTTCGCGATCCATTAAGTGCCCCACAAAAGAAAGTCCATGTTCTTCCACAAGTTGTCGGGCAGGTTGTTTACTTCTAGCATTATTGCATTTTGAAGCAAAATTAAAAAATTCTGTCCGTTTAAATAGTTTTCAAAAAAAATGTGGTCAACAATTCTATCCCTTATAATACCGCACCACACTTGAACACACGATGGCCCTGCTTATTATTATTATTATTTTTTCATTACAAACTTATTCTCTGTGGAATCGCCTTATCAGTCCATAATATTTTGTTAAAAATGTCCCTCTCAAAATGTTCGTCCATCATGACCATGCAGAAGTTTCGTCTGGCTTTTAAAATACGTCGTACAGCTGAAATAGTCAATAAGTCAAGGTCCCTGCTTGCATCTCGCAAAATTTTTTTGGGAAATTCAGTGAAGTATAATATACGTTCAGTTCTGTCTGATTAAAAGGGTGTTCGGTTTCTCCCCTTTTCTATATTTTAGAACACCGTGATTTAACAGGTGCAGGATAATTCTATTAAAAACTGTTTTTGTTGGTATTTAACCCCTGAAAACTTTCGTTGATACTCCCTTCATGCTTAGGCTGCACTTTTACCATTGGCCAAGTAGCACTCATACAATTTTAGCAGAATATTGCGGCAGTGTAACCAAAAAGTATAACTTATTTAAAATCCATACTAACCAAGAACTTGACGACTATGAACTTTTTAAAAAGAAATATGAAAAAAAAAGAACAACAAACAAAGAGAAATGTCAAAGTTTGCTTATACCTTAATGCAGTGGTGGGGAAAGTTTTTAAGACGGGCCATTTGTAATAACTAGACGATCGTAGCGGGCCAAAGAATAATGCTTAATCGTTAAAAAATTTATGTGTTTTATAAACATATTATTACTTATTATTACTTACTATTATTACTTATTATTTTAATAGTAAAAAAGCAAAAGGTAAGAAAATTATAAGCATAAAATATAAAATGAATTTAGTGTATTTGTCGATGTGAAGTATTATCACTTTATTTTCTGGTGTCATTACTGGTTGATAGTACGCGACAAAAATGAAATTGAGACTGTTTTATCAAAATTTCATCATAGTCCGGTTCCATTTGCGAAGGAGAAATTCTTAAAACTGATGAAAGGTGCTCATCTGTAATTCTGTTTCTTAAAGAAGTTTTCCTAAGCTTCATTGTTGAAAAGATTGTATTGCATGAATCGCATGGATTTTTCCGGTTCTTTCGGAGGAAAAACAGAAAATGAATCGAAAATGCGAGGGTGCCTGGAAGTTTCGAGCGAAGAGGAGTCAGCTGTTTGGGTCGGATGGATTTACCAGAATACTATTGTGTTTTGAATATCGGCGCAGGTAGTTTTCATGCGGGTCGTCACATTACGAAGCAAGAACGCGTTCAAACATTTTCACGACGGCACTCTTAAACGGGCCGGATTAAACCTTTCCATGGGCCGGACTTGGTTTCCCCATCACTGCTTTAATGTGTGAAAAATGAAACGATCATTTTAAGAGGAACATTTTCAACTAAACTTCATGGCCCGAATTAACGAACTCTTTTTAGTTAACTTTCTGTTTTATAGATTTATTTATTCAAATTTCTTACCTTGTTTAGTTAGTCTATAAACTTTAATTATTTATTTTTGTGATTATGTATTTCCCATCAAGCTAGATAATTAAATGAAATTTTAAATACGAATTCTAAAGTTTAATTAAATCTGTTAAAGTGTGTAATATTAAAATAGAGTAAAATAATATTATTAAAACCCTTTACAGGGAAAACTGACAGTTTTGTACTTAATTCCTTTCGCTTCATTGAACAAATAAAAAGCATTACTTTAGATGCACAAGGTATTTTGATACCCGTGAGGCAAGGAAAAATATCATTTGGAAACTAAACATTTCCTTATCCTCTTTCCTTTTCAGAACTGGTCTCTTGTTTAAGTAATTGGCAGCTAAAAACTTTCGCTTAATGTTAGAAGAGAATATTTTAACATAAATCAAACAAGTGAGCTAATTCAAAACTATTAGTTTTTTTGAAGCAGTTGAACAACAACCAACTACAGATTGTAGGTATATTTTTAATTAAGATCTGTATGCGCCTTCCGAACATAAATTTTTATTCGATAAAACTAAAATTCTTGCATGTTATCAATTCTTCTACCAACGGAAAATTCGAGAGACTATAGAAATCTATAAGCAACCTAATAATCTTAACCGCGACTCAGGTCTCTACCAGTCACCAATATGGGAATCAAGTCATCCGAGACGGTGTTTCTGTTCGAGTCAACAAAAACCGACGCAGGAGGAATCCAGAAGTTAAAAAAAAAACGAGCAACTGTCTACAAAAATGTTTTATAATTCCGTTACAAATTATAAAAAATTATAAAATTTTTGCTGTAGATAGCAAAATTAATTGTGTTTGTGACAAACATGCTTTGATTTTAACAAATGTCAAAGCTCGGGGTTCGTTCGTTTATTACAATGTTATGGCTAGTTAATTTGGGTCAAGTGGTTCAGATATCATACGTTGTATTTTATCACTGAAATGTTCATCAATATAAATGGGCCGATAGGCCGTAATTCCAAAGGCGCACTTTAGAATTAGAATTTTTATTCACATTTCTAACATACTTTTTCCCATTTTGTTAAAATTTTGTGATCGTTGAGATAGGACGCTAGTCTTTCATTAACTATAGATGATAGTCAGAATTACAGAAGCCCAACAAAAGGCAACGTGGGCAATAAAGCAGCTTATACAGTGTATACCAAGTAAATTTGATAAAATTCATTCATTAAAAAGTTTATTATTTCTTAAATTTCGCGTTTTTGACACACCATTTTTAAATGTTATAATCGACTAAGTTTGATCATTAATTCTCAATTTCTGGATATCTGCTGAAGGTCTACGAAAATGTAGAAGCTCTTCGGTGCAGGTGAATATCGAATGTATTTAAGGATTGGAACTCATTATTATTTAGTTGGCACAATTAACAATGTAAAATCTGCAAAATGAATTACAATAAGTAACACCCCGAACTTGCCCAAGTGGTCCTCTGAATTCGATATTTATTATAAATGTTCATTCGCAGACGATAATTCCCAGCTTAATATCATAGGTCGAACGCTGTCACAACAATTAAACATTTTTAGTCTATTTTGATGTTTGCCAGTAGCAAACAGCTGGTGCGCATAACTTAAGCCTGTAGACAGTAATTTCTCTAATTTTATTTTTGTAAACATATGGGTCCCAGTGGTAAACCGATTAATTGAGCTTGAAACATTAACTGAGATTAATTGAACGTGAAACGCACAGATGCGTGTAAATACTTGATTAGGTACATCAAATTTACTCAAATATCGTTCAAAATACGACCGAATGGTTAGTCAATCAAACCGCATAGGATTACATACTGTTTTGCCAATACGTTGAAATCACTGCTAGAAATAGATTCGATGCATTCTAAAAGTTTGAATTCACATTGAACATGGATTTATTTATGCACCGTTCATTTTATAAAACTGTTGCGTTGTTTTTACATTCTGTTCTAATAAACTGATGTAAAATATTAAAAATTAATGTTACTAAAAATAATATTGTTTGGAAAAATTCATTATTTTTGCAATATATTTAAATATTTTTACGCGTTACCGTTAGTTTATTTAATTTTATAAACATACTATTTAGGTCTTTACTTACCTAAATCGGAAATATTTACTTTCTCCAGAAATGGATCCACAACCGGCAACTGTAAAACAAAGAAACAAAATTAATTTTCTAAATTCGTTTGCTCCAAATGTTAACGATGCTTTAAAACCATTGTACGTTGTCACGATTTGTGAGGTCTATTAGCTATAAACCATTTGTATACCTGTAAACACAGGTATGAATAAATCAAAGTTATAATTATTCATTTATATTCGTGGTATAGAACGCATTAAATTTTATACGGACTTCTTAAATGAGCTAAAATTATAGGTATGTGTGCTTCCATTTAAATATATCCGCAATCTAAAATATGGGTCATGGTACTTCCGTTTTGACGACTGATTGTCTCTTTCACAATACTCAAAAAAAAAAAGAATAAAGAAAGGCGATCTGGAAAGTTGAAGCTATGGAGTCGATTCAGTGACATGCAAAATTTTATAATTTTCATTCTTGGTTTTGTTAGAAAGAAATTAAAATTTTAAAATAAATCGCGGGAAACTGTCCAATGGTGACCAAATCTTTTGAAATTTCAACTTTCATCTCAGAATAATAGGCATCAACTTTTTAGATACTAATTAGGGGCTGCCGTGAATTATTTCTATTTTATTAAAACGTAACATTTATTTCTGTAAATTAAAATAAATTCAAAATGTGCAATTTTATTTTCAAATAAAGCCCAATTAATTAAAACGGTTTTCCAAAGTCGTTTTTTTTATTATTATTTTTTTAATAATAAACTTTAAACCCAGAATGTTTAACCGATTCGATACCTCTTAACGTTTTCCACTATTTAATTAATTGAACGATATTTATGTCAATCTGTTTGGCAGTAGGAGAGCCTTCTTCAATCGTAGCTACATTCCTCTCCGTCTATTAGGGTCGTTGTTTTTCCCTCTTTCCTCCTCGCTACTGCTTTTTTTTTTATTTAAGAAGGCTATTTTCGAGATAAAAAGCAAAGGATATTATTTCCCTGAGAGAGATGAGTGTTTCTGAATCGGAATCGCTTTCTGTATTCGATATCCGTCGCTGGTCTTTGATGCGCAACATAATGGCTGTGCCACCAGCAAATATAGTTCACTGATAAGCAGAGAAAAGCAACTCCGGAACACGTTCCTTTGTCCACCTAGATTTTTATATATACAGGGATATTTACGACCTATGACTAAAATAAGTCGCTTTTTTTATAATCCAGTCCACATAATTTATTTGTTTTAATAATGTGGCAACTCAATATAAAGATTTCAATTTTTATTTTAATTATAATGTTTCAAATATTTAAGAAGAATTTAACTTATTCAGACGAAATATAAATGTAACAGTAAATATGTTTTACATCTAAATCTTATAAGAATACTTAGTGGCTATAAATTACTTTAAATAGTCCGCAGCATTTTTTTAGCTTACTAGGGAATGTGCTTTCCAATTGTGTTTTTTAAAGAAAAGTTACATCCCAAAAGTAAAACTATTTATTTAAAAACCACGTATTGTGAATATTCCGCGCAATATATACAAACATGGCATCTGCTATTTATATATTAAATACATTTTGATTTTATAAATATTAGTCGTATTTTTAAACGATACTGTTTAATAAAAATCCTTTCAAGTTGTTGCGCTTCAAGATTGTGATTTGGCCTTTACTCCCTTATTTCAAAGGAAAACTAATTAATGTATATTGACCGAATGAAATTAAACCTGTTTGAAATTTTGCCCTGGGCATTACTCTGATTAAATCGCGTGGGCGTTTTGCAGGTATACGAGAGTTTACGGAGTTGTTTTGGAATCAATTTATTTCTTAGCGGGAGATTCTTTCTATAAACGGATTCTTATTTATAGATTTCTCGTAACAAGAATAAAGTAGTAAAATTGAATCGGCTTCCCAAAGGGAAAAGAGGATTTTGTTTTCCTGAACTCCGAATCAACTTTATTGATTCGCAAACACTGTTTCTAAAGGACTATTTAAATGAAATACGACCGGAGATTATAGTGTCGCATTTCAACTGATTTTACTTTAAAAAATAACTGTGAGCATGAATCCGATTTATTTCATGGAATATAATTTATAAAATCAATACGAGAATCTTTCGTGGGCGCATTCGATACTATTTAAATTTTCATTGGACGATAAAGGTTATTTTAAAAATTGTCTAGTTTTTATCTTGTCAGAAGCTAAGGTAAAAAAAAATATTTTGTTCGTTAAGCTTAAACTTTCAGCTCTAATTAACATCTTAATATCTTATTCTAAACAGTTTTAAGTATTTTACAAAATTGTTAGTCTGTGCGTTGTCACTGTTACTGTGGAAGTTCATTATACACTTACACACAATAACGCGTTTTACCACAAACCGAAACTCAATTTTACGTACTCGACGCGCCTGAAGATGCCAACCAAATTGGCATCTTCAGGAGAAGATTAAAACTAAACTTAATAGAACAAATGCTCTCTATATATGCTGTCATACATCGGGAAGTAGGAGAGGGAATTACGCACTATTCACGCAACCAATCAGCGCGTATAATGGGCTAAATGGGATTGGACCTCTGTCCTTGTTCAGTGCCTTATTCCTTCTCTTAACAATTTCCAAGCTTTCGTAGGCATCTAATTTTCTACTATTATTTACATGTTTAACTAATTTTAAATTACTTACAATATTCAACAATAATCATATGATTATTGTTGAACATATGTTCGGCTACACTTGATCTTTCTAATCTACCAAATTTTAAATGAACTAAGTGCTACAACATATTTCATAAATTCCCGACTTTTCAAGGGTGTCTAGTTTATCCTTGGGATTACACAAGAGATTTTTTTATTTTGATCCGGAATGATAGACTCTTCGAAGACCTGCGGCCCTGAGGACTCTATCAAGTCCACTTGTATATTGGGGAGAGAAAGGAATTGAGACTACTTTAAAATTTTCCTTATCAGCTTGCTCTCCCACTTCCCGATATATATATATATATATATATATATATATATATATATATATATATATATATATATATATATATATATATATATATATATATATAGAGAGAGAGAGAGAGAGAGAGAGAGAGAGCATTTGTTCTATTAAGTTTAGTTTTAATCTTCTCCTGAAGATGCCAACTTGGTTGGCGAAACGCGCGTCGATTACGTAAAATTGAGTTTCGGTTTGTGGTAAAACGCGTTATTGTGTGTTAGTGCAGTGCCGAAGGTTCCAGTCAAGAGATTGATTATACACTTAATCACAGTCATTCAAATAGTCTGGATCGACCAAAGAGAAAATGTGAACTGTTCATTATTTTATTCTGAAACCCCTGTACATATTATTTTTCACAAATATGTTTTTTCTTTCATTGGGATTGGTTAGATAATTCAATTTTAATCTGACATACAAACTCTCAAAAAATCTGAATAGGTCAAATATAATGTGTAAATGCAAGGGCACCTACCCCACAAGTAAAAATATTTAAATGACAATTCGAAATATAGAAAGGGATCTAGAGTTTCAATTTTCAATAAGATATAATTATAAAAATAGTTGGTTTAAATTAAAAACGTATATTTTCGATTCCCCATTGCTGGAGCGAAATTTAAAAAAAAATAGTAGCATGGCAAGACGTTCTTCGCAAAGAGGTTGAGAGCAAATAGGACATGCTTAGGGAATGTCCACCAATCAAGAACGAAAATTATTTGTACACAGATCTATAAAAGAAACTTGAATAGACTAGGTGCATCTTAGTCATGCTCTTCACAAAAATACAGAGCGTGTTCGATTAAAAAAGAAGCAAGCTGACGTCCAGTTGAAAACATTTTAGTTAGCATTTATCGCCATCCAGAAGTCAGTACATGTTTCGAACATTCAAGTGCTCATCTTCGCCTAACTCTGGTAATATCAAAACAGCATCCCACCCTCCGAAACCGTACACAAAAACAAATGGGTGTAAAAATGCAACATCTTTAATTGCGCTGCAACTATAAGTGATACATGTTTGGAGGACATTTAATTAATTTTAATTATATTAAGTTAAAGTAACCAGTAGTCACTAATAACTAGACTTTCGCAATACAGTTTTAATCCAGCTCAAGATGGAGCAAACCTTCTGTGTGTTTTGACTCTACTCAGGGTGGGATGTTGCTTTTAAATGGTTTTACATTAAAATGGTGCGGAGGAGGACACGGTTTTGTTTCCCTTGGGTTTACAACTCAACTCAAGATAGACTACTTTTCAAATTTGACGCTGTGTTGCCAAATTGGCTGGGTTTTACCTTAGATTAGTACTGTTTTATTAAAGCTTAAGTATAATTTAGAAGGATTTGGTCCGGGTGATCCAAGGTCCACACAATATAGTACATTGTGGGAACACTTCTGGTTGGCACCCTTTAACACTGAATTTATTAAGTAGATTAAATTATTACACATTTAAGCGAGAAAAATGGAAATAAAAAACGAAGAGAAGAGAAAAACAGGGCAGATAGTTAAATTCCGAAAATTGTGTTATTGTCGAATTTGTATATAGCGTTGAAAAGCCTGCAATTTTGATTACATTTTATGGAAATTTGAAAAAATTGGTTTGACGACACTGGTAAATATTAAGGTTCTAATGTATAGGTAGTGGAGACGCGGAGTAAACTAACCAAACTAACCAGAGCAGTTCTCTTGATTATTTTCGGCGACTGAAGGTTCTTCTTGACGTTCGAAGAGAGCCAGTTCCATATTCCCGCCGAAACTGGCGGCGAATGAAGAACCGTAGGGGGCGGTTTGAAATTCCTGTATTCGCCAGCGTAACTCACACGACGTAATATAGTTCTTTTTGGTTTCGGCTGAACACTTTCCATCACTCGGTACGATTTTCACTTAAAAGCGCGTATACGTACGCGCGCACTCGAACTTTTTGCGTTCCTCGCTTACATGTTTCGGGCCTAAACGAAAATACGAGAGATTCGTGTACTTCTTTCGTTCGATAGCGAGCCGCCCATATACAAAATGAAACTCGACAATTTAACGAAGTTACATACTGGCGGTTGCTAAATTAATCTTTATCTTTAAACATC